TTGAGTTGGTTCAGCAAACAGTGGGAAAACAATGGGTGGATAGATGTGTAGACAATCAACACCTTAATGTAATTTTGTTTCAGGATCGTCTTCCTACTGCTGCTATTTTCCAGTATTTTAATAAAAAGGTGTTCATTCTGGAGTGGCTTCATTTGGCCCACACTCCAGGAAAATCTATATCTGGTCGTGGAATTTTATTGGCAAAAATTATTTTTAAAGCTCGTCAAAGATGTAAAATTCTGGCTGGCGTAGAACCAAGTGTTTTTTATCTTCCATTTTCCCTGCAAACATGGGAAATGTTATTGGTAGAAAATGAAATTTTACAAGGGGTTTTGGGAGACTGGGTTGGTCAATTTTCTTGCCACCCTCCTGCAGATTATCGATTTCAATTAATTAATAATGTCCCTTTGGAAATTTGTTCAATTATGGCCAAAACTCCCATTTTTGAAGCTGTTACCGTTTTTACAGATGGTGGAAAAACCTATGGTGCCTGTGTTTGGCACACTCCTAAAGGGTGGTCTACAAAAATTACACCACCACAAACTTCTGCACAGCGGGCGGAGCTGGCTGCAGTTATTTTGGCATTTCAACAATTTTCAAATCAACCTTTTAATTTAGTGGTGGACAGTCTTTATGTTTATCACATTGTTGCTCATTTGGCTTGGTCATATTTGTCTCCAAGTCTTGACTCAATTCTTTTAAATTTATTTTTGACATTACAACAACTTCTTGAATCCAGACATCATTCCTTTTATGTTGCTCACATTCGCAGTCATCAGCCTTTGCCTGGATTTTTAAGTGAAGGCAACCAAAGGGCTGACGTCGCTACCAAGCAAATTTTTCACCTGGATTCTTCTACTCCATGGTCTAGCCATGAATATTTTCATCAGAATGCTAAAGCTTTACAAAAGCAATTTGGACTTACCCAACAAGAAGCTCAAGCTATTATTCAACAATGTCCCTCCTGTGCCTCACAAGGCACTTCCTTACCTATGGGAGTTAATCCCAGGGGTACAGAAATTAATCTGATTTG